CACAGATTTTTCAAACTCCAGCCGGGAAGGCCCGGGGGAGGGTTGGGGGGCAGGAGGGAGGGGGGGGTAAGAGATCAACCTGAAGGGACTTGTATGCATGCATATGAGCATAACCCAATGGACATAAGACACTGGGGGGTAGGGGAAGCCGGGGGTATTGTCAAGGGCGGGGGAAAAAAAAGGACACATATGTAATACCCTTTGTAATACTTTAAGCAATAAAAAAAAATTAAAAAAAAAAAGAAATATCCACTGAAGTATTTAGAGATCAATGGACACAATGTTTGCAACTTTCTCCAAGTGGTTGAGAAAAAATATGTGTGGGTACACACACATACACACACACACACACACACACACACATACACACACACACACACACGAGTGTACAAATATGGCAAAATGTTAACAGTTGGGGCACATGGGTGAAGGATATAGGAGTTCTTTGTACTATTCTTGTTCCTTTTCTCTAAGTTTAAAATTATTTTGAAAATTTTTGTTTTTTAATTTCCTTCTGGTTCCTTCTTTGATACTTAAAAAATGTATTTCCCCTCTCCCTCCCACTTGCCATATGAGGTCCTTATTAGGTAAAAGTTTGTGTAATCTCACTCTTTACAATTGAGATGTCCTGGGGGTGGGGGTGGGGGCGGATGGGAATTGGTATCACTTACAATGGGGGTGAAATGATTAGGGCTCCAGCCTTTTTAGCAGTTGAAGAGAAAATGCTGCTGTTGTTTTGTTGCAGGGTCTGTACCAGCTAAAGGGCTGTGGTTTGGGGTCTGCCCCACCTCCCTTGTCCTGGAGGGAAAGGGAAGCATTTTAGTCCCAGGAATCTTGTCATCATTATTTCATCTTAATTTGGTCATTGGTAACTGAGAGGAAAGGGGGAAATCACAGAGGTAGAAAGAGGGATGTGTATCCATTCTTAAATGGCCAGGCCATGCAAATGTGTGTGGGATCTCTAATATAGATGGATCTATCAAGCTAACCTGAGACCATTTTCATATTTAAACTAGAGGCCTGGTGCACGAAATTTGTGTACTCAGGTGGGGGTTCCCCAGCCTGGCCTGTGCCCTCTCACAGTGCAGGAGCTTTGTGATCGATCTCCCCAAAGAGGTAGGCCCCGCCCAACCATCTGGGGCTCCTCGATGGATTGCCCCAAAGAGGTAGGCCAGCCCTAACTGGTTTGGCTCAGTGGATAGAGCATCGGCCTGCGGACTGAAAGGTCCCAGGTTCGATTCCGGTCAAGGGCATGTACCTTGGTTGCGGGCACAACCCCAGTAAGGGGTGTGCATGAGGCAGCTGATCTATGTTTCTCTCTCATCAATGTTTTTAACTCTCTATCTCCCCAAAGAGGTAGGCCCCGCCCAACCATCTGGGGCTCCTCGATGGATTGCCCCAAAGAGGTAGGCCAGAGCTGGGGGACCCCACGCTGTGGGACCCTGGCCTCATCGTGTGGAGCCAGAGCCGCCGGGATCTCCTCCAAGGCTTCCTGCGCACACAGCCTCGCCCACCTGCACTCACCCTCCTGGTGATGGATTGTTATGTCATGAGGGCATCACGGCATGAGGGCGTGACAACCACATAGGCTTTTATTAGTATAGATGCTTTGTATTGGACTACTGCGTGGTTAAATTTCTTTAATTTCCAGAATGATGCTTGTACAATACAAAAAAGCAGCCCAGTCCCCACATCCTTTGCTACAATTCCAGTATTTATAATAGACAACTGGATATTCCAATCCAGAGATTAGGTACAGATTTCACAATTACAAAGAGCCAAACATCAGCAACTCCCTCAAAGGACATTCACCAAAGGAGCAAAGCAGAGACAGGAACATTGACAAAATGCTTTAACCAAAAACTGTACTGAAAAGAGATTGCTTAACAAGCCATCAAATTCACAGCCAAAGAGAAACACGATGTTAGCAACATAGCAGCATCCAGTAGGTAACTAGTCAAACAAAGCTGTACACAGTTTATCATAGAAGAATTTGGGAGTTGGAGGGCATAGAAGGTCAAAGATTTGAAGTTAGCACACCCTACCCACCACCCAGGTTCCTGCCGTTTACCATTGGGCCTTCATTCTGAGGATCCCACCAGAGGCCCAATGCTAGTGCCCTCTAGTGGTTTGGGCATTTATTTGTTCATTTATTTAGTTTGGTCTATGTCAAAGGGCATAGGTAGTCTGCAAAACTTACTGTCTCCAAAAGGGGGTCCTAATGTATGGGACAGGAGAAGATTTGACCTTGGGTAGTAGGTACACAGTGTAATAAACAGATGTTATAACATAGAAATCCACACCTGAAATCTATATGTTCATGTTGACCAATGTCACCCCAATAAATTTTTAAAAAGCCAGTGATAAGCATGTTGACCAATGTCACCCCAATAAATTTTTAAAAAGCCAGTGATAAGGAAGCATAGGCCTCTCCATTAATTTCACGTATGATGAACAAAAGTCCCAGGTTATTGTGGAGTGTGAAAGTGTACCTTGCACTCCGCCACCCGTCCCCACTTCGAGTTCTGCATTCTTTCGTTTGAATTAGTTTGTTTCTTTTATCTCTCTGTGAACAGTGAATGCCCAACGTGGGCTTAAAGTGGCCTGTGAATAAGTGGGTTATTCTGGAGGGATTTTCATTTTTCTCGGGAACCCAAAGCCTTAACCTAAAACACCCAACTGCTTATCTAGAGCTGGTGGAGCAGGTTTGCTCATGAAGTTACACCCTGTTAGCATCACATAGGCCAGGGAGCGTCTCTCCTGGAGAACTGAACCAATTAAGAGTCTCTAGCAAATTCGTGGCAGGTGTCAACCTGCCCTCACAAAGGCTCAGCAGCTACATCGCTTCCAAGATGTTACACCTCAACATTGGGTCCCTATAGGGCTGGAGGGGCGCCCTGGGCTTCTGCTGCCCTGGAGCATTCTTGGGACTTTGTAAGAGGCAGGCTTGCTCTTCAGGTGTGAGGTGTATGTAGCTCTCCCATGCCCAAGTACATGCCTAATTCCCAGGATAACTAAGCCAGCTATTTTTACATCTCCTTAGCAAAGGAGGTTAAGAAAGAACTGGCCTATATTCAGTGAAATGAAGTCTAGAGATTTTTAAACACACTGCAGATACAGTCAACAGGTTAAATAAGGAGACCCGTCGGGCTCATCTTTAAATTTCTCCTCAGAACTGCACTGTTGCTTTCTTTGTGGATCTTTAATTATATGCACTATTTTATAGTTTCAATTTCTTGCACATTGGTTTATTTTCAAAATTATCAAAGAAACATCTTAGATTCAGTTTGTTTATGCACACAGATTTCAATTAAATTTGGATTTGAATAATCCTGATACTCTAATGCAGTGGTTCTCAACCTTGGCTGCACATTAGAATCACCTGGGAATCTTTTTAAAATCCTGATTTCTGGGCCTCATCCTCCGGAAATTCTGTTTCTTTGTTATGGGGTGGGGCCACAACATTAATAACAAAGAAACAGAATTTCTGGAGGATGAAGCCCAGAAATCAGGATTTTAAAATGATTCCCAGGTGATTCTAATGTGCAGTCAAGGTTGAGAACCACTGCTGTATGTTATGTAGATATAACTGATATATTTTCATACATTATTATGACCTACATTTTGTTTTTTTAAAGCCTCATCTTTCCTTTTTAATGGCCATAGCCAGCTTCAGTGGACTCAACTGTACTTTTCTGGACATCTCACCTTTGACCATGAATTTGGAGAGGAATGAGTAAGTAAGTCATTTCTGAACCATGATTCAAGGACCTATTTTTAAAAAGTAATAAAACCTTTCCCCTGCTGTCCCTCCACTTTTGGCTGGAGGCTCCACAGTGACCTGCTTGTGCCTGGGTGTGAACTGGGGTCTGTGTGAACTGAGGGAAATTGGGGGCCTGCTAAAGGACCAAGGAATAAGTTCAAAAGCATGGGGTGAAACCAAATTTGTTTTCCACAATTTGCCTCAGGTTTGCCTTGCAAAGAGATTAGAACTTAAGACCACTGAGAACAGTTTAAGAGAACCCTGAGGAATAGCCGGAGAAGATCTTTAATCAGTGAAGCACTGTGTTACAACTCGTCTTCCTAAGAACAGAACAGGAATAAATGGGTTTACATGGGCACAAAATAGAATGCACAATATTTGTTAAGAAAAAAAGGGAAAATCCCCCCCTGGTAAAACCTAAAATAAGTGACTGTGGAGACTGGACCGTATTTATTAGCAGAATAAAGTCCCCTCTCTAGGACTGGGTGTGATCAGGTTTCAGGTCCTTCCACACGCAGGATTCTGAAAGGAAGGATGGGGACCAGCTTGATTTCAATGGATACCAGGAATTGGCATCAGCTGTAAAAGGGAATAGCAAGAGCTTTGCTCAGGTGTAGGGACAGGAAAACATACCACGGCACAGAACACATAATAGCTGTATAATAAATACTTTGTAAATAAATACTGATCGGTTTATAAAGAAAGTCTTAGAAGCCAGTTGAATACCACTCTTGTTGACAGGTAACACTGACTTACATTCCCTGGTTCTCACTGACACAAGACAACTTCATAGACACATACACACTGCACAAAAGTCTATGACATGTTTCCACAGGGGAGACGTTTCCAACCGGTCCCTGCTGTTCCCCACAGAAGGTTAGACAAAGGTCCCCTCAGTCACTGTCCACCGTGACCCAGCATGCCTCCCGCCTGTGAAGCCACAAGCCCATTCACTTCAATGGCAAACACCTGTGACATCAGGCAACCTTAGTCACAGACAGGAATAATTCAATGGGCAGCAACTGTGGCAGGTGTGACTCCTTTCTTTGGGCCACAGACCTCAAGCCTTTACAAAGTTCTCAGGGACTCGAAGTGACAGATGTCTTTTTTGAACATCAACAAACCGGAATCGGGAAGTGGATGATGGTCATTCTTTTGAGGGGAGTTATTAACTTTTCAGGGGAGCTTGCTGTTCCCCTGCCAGAACAATTTCTCTTCCACTTTTTTCTTTTTCCATCGGCAGAGAAGCAGCATCTTAAAGGTCTTCCGGAAGGTTCTGTTGCAGAGGGCATAGCAAATGGGGTTGACAGTGCTGTTGACGTAGCACAACCAGTAGCCCAAGTGCCACAGGGTGACGGGGACGCACTTGTCACAGAAGGTGGAAACCAGGACCATGATATTATAAGGGGTCCACGTGATGATGAAGGCCAGGAGGATGGCACTCAAGGTCTGGGCTGCTTTCCTCTCTTTGACAAGGACCATTCTCTTTCGTTTGGTTATTTGGTGGCTGAGGTTGGGATCCAGGCCTTTCGTGGAAGGGTCCTTGGACACTGGGGAGGAGCAGGGCATGATTTTCACCTTGCGACAGCCGTTGTTGGTCTCCTGGGTCCCGTCTGCTTTCACCACCAATCGGAACTTGTAGGCCACACATTTCTGACTCTTGGGTCTATGAGCAGCTGCTGGAGACAGGAAGTATTTTGGGGTGTCGTAGTCATTTTTTTCAGCTTGACCTTTCGCAAAAGTTTCCTTGGTCTCTTCAGTACTGAAGTCTTCCTGTGGGCTTTCCTTGGCCTGACTCTTGTAGACCACCTGGAAGACAGGGTCAGCGGTGGGCTTGTCCTCATCCTCTGAGGAGGGGCAGCTGCTGCAGGTAGTGAGCTGCTCAGCTTTGTCCCACTCAGTGCTTGGGCCGGAGGCTTGGGACGGCTTCCCAGGGGTGCTCCTGCGGGAGGATGACCAGGAAGCGTGGCTCCGTTCCCTCTGGGCCAGCGTGGGCCGCGGGCAGCCAAAGCAGCTGAGCAGAGCCTTGTGAGCTGGCTTTCTCTTCTCAGTTTCAGCTACAGAGTCAGAGCCCTGGAGGTCAGCAAGGTCCTTGGTCCGCTTCTCTGTTTCCCGGTAGATTCGGCAGTAGAGAATGGTCATGACGGAAACAGGAATGTAGAAGGCAGCAATGGCGGTGCCGAAAGTGATGGTGGGCTCCGAGAGGAACTGGATCTGGCACTCATCTGCAGGCACCGTTCGCTCCCCCACCAAGTACTGCCAGCAGAGGATCGCTGGGGCCCAGAGGATGAAGGAGATCAGCCAGGCCAAGCCAATCATGATGCCAGCCCTCTTTGGGGTACGCTTGGCCCGATACGTCAGGGGTCTTGTGATGGAAAAGTAACGGTCAAAACTGATCACCAGAAGGTTCATGACGGAAGCGTTGCTGGCCACGTAGTCCAGTGCCAGCCAAAGGTCACAGGCCAGACTCCCGAGAGCCCAGCGTCCCATGAGGATGTAGGTGGTATAGAGATTCATGGAGAAGACCCCAATGATGAGATCTGCGCAGGCTAAGCTGAGCAGGTAATAGTTGTTAACCGTCTTCAGCTGACTATTGACTTTGAAGGAGATCATGACTAAGACGTTGCCCACAGTGGTGATCAGGCTGACCACAGCAGTCACAGCTGCAATGGTGATGACTTCCCACAACCCATGGCGTTCCAAAGGCTGGTGATTCACTGGGGTGCCATTGACAGTAGTTGCATTGTGGTAAGAATCTCCTTCCATCCTGGTGCAGGATTTACATTAGGAGTAAGTCAGGTTCTATACTGTTCTCTTTTGTATCTAACACCTCTTCTGGGACAGCATCTGGAAGAGAGGGAAATACATTATCTCCACCTGCCAGCATGAATTTCTTTCCACTCATTGTTTAGAATTTCTAACAAAATACTGAATGTGGTCCCATACACATTTGGGGCAAGATGCTAAAATAAAATTTTTAAAGTTTTTAAAAAATTCTCACTAGATATTTTTATTTATTTATTTTTTGAGCGAGAGCAAGGGAGAGAGCAAGAGAGAGCAAGAGAGGGAGAGAAGAAGAAGAGAGAGAGAGAGAGAGAGAGAGAGAGAAACAGTGATGTGAGAAACATCAGTTGCTTCCCGTATATGCCCCAACTTGCAACCTTTTAGTGGATGTAAGGACACTCTAATCAACTGAGCCACCTGGTCAGAGCAAATCTCTAAAGTTTTGAACATTTTTATAAGGGCATCATCCCTTTGCTTATGAATAATGCCTGAGTGCCTTTCATGTTCAGGAAGCTGCTGCCCTCTTGTGGTTCTGAAAGGCAATTTTAAAAACGAACTGGGAGGATGAGAGCAATGGAAAAGGAAAAAGAATTGGATTGTTGGGGAGTATTAATGAGGAGAAAGCAGGTGACATTGTTACTTTCTACTGCAATAGCCTTAAGGTCAGACACTTTTTAAGCTCCTGGTGATAAGTATTTAATCTATCGTGCACTGGAGAAAAAGACAAGTTATATAGTCCAATTATTTAGATTATTGAGTTTAATTATAGATTCAGTTATTAAACATTAATGAGGCATTGTTGTGAGCTAAGACTGTATTACAAAACCTCACCCTGACTTAGTGCACAAACTCCCAGTGGGTGCCCGGTTTTCATTGAGAGGGTTTGAAATTTGCCCCATATGCTGAAGATGGCGACCCTCCCTTGGGCTCTTTGCAATGTCATAGAAACGTTTTAAAATATCTTTTAAAAAATTTTTAATTTATTTTTTCCTTTTAAGATAATTTTTAAATTATAGTTGACATACAATATTATATTAATTTCAGGTATACAACAGTGATTAGACATTTATAAAACTTATGAAGTGATCACCCTGATTAATCTAGTACCCATTTAACACCATACATAGTTATTACAATATTATTGAATATATTCCCTATGCTGTACTTTATTTATTTTATATTTGCATGATTTAAAATTTTTTTAATTGAATTTTTTTGGTGGTGACATTGGTTAATAAAATCATTGGTACAACTCTATAATACATCATCTGTATATTGTATTATGTGTTCACCACCCAAATATCTTTTTATTTATTTATTTATTTATTTATTTATTAATTCTCCCCCCAAGAATATTTTTTCTATTGACTTTTAGAGAGAGTGGAATGGAGGGAGGGAGATAGGGAGGGAAGGAGGGTAGGAGGGAGAGAGGGAAAGAGATAGAGAGAGAGAGAGACAGCAAGAGAGAGAGAAACATTTATGTGAGAGAGATACATCGATTGGTTGCTTCCGGAACTCACCCTGACTGGGCTGGGATTGAATCTGCAACCCTTGACCCAGAGTCAAACCCGGGACCTTCAGTGCATGGGCCAATGTTCTAACCATTGAACAACCATTGAGCAACACCTGGACTCTTCTGCTCAGGGCCAAATATCTTTTTAAAATCTGACTATAAAGTAATATGCTCTTTGTAAAAGTTGAAGCAATGTCCAAATGTATAACTTAGAAAACAAAAGTCTCCTCTAGTTCCGACTTGCAGTGCTAACAGGTTAGTGTGTATTTTGACAAGTTTTCTTTATGTATATACTAACCAACATTTAAATACAGTTATTTTTAAGTAGTTGAATTTTTTTAAGTGGGTGAATTTTTAATGTTTACACTCTGAATGTTGTTTTTTACTTAAATCATCACAGACTTCTTTTGCATCAGTAAGTCTTTGGGATCAAAGAAATATTTTTTTGCATTATTTCACTTAATGGATATACTATAATTTATTTAATCAATTCCCCATTGATAAATTCCAAATCTAAAAAGAAAATTTTCTTTTCTAGTTTAAAAATTTATGTACATGATAAAAGCTTCAATGGTTACAAATGGGAAAACAGTAAAAGATAGGTCTTCCTCCCACCTCTGACCTCCATGCTCTCTATGCCCCCTTTTCCAGAGGTAACCAGTTACCATTTCTTTTTTTTTTAAGCTTTTTTTAAAAAAAAATGTCTTTTTATTGATTTCAGAGAAGAAGGGAGAGGGAGAGAGAGATAGAAACATCAATGATGAGAGGGAATCATTGACTGGCTGCCTCCTGCACGCCCCCTATAGGGGATCGAGCCCGCAGCCTGGGCATGAGCCCTTGGCTGGAATTGAACCTGGGACCCTTCAGTCCACAGGCTGACGCTCTATCCACTAAGCCAAACCGGCTAGGGCCAGTTACCATTTCTTATCTTTCCCTCCAAACAATAATGTGTGCATATAATATATATTTGACGATATATGAAAATAGCATTACAAAATCCCAGGCACCATGGCATGATGATAGGAAGCGGAGAGAGAAGGCTTTTTGATGGCCCTCAGAGCGTACCATGTGGCAATACCTGCTCTGCCTACTCGTCGGTTTTGACTTCTTTAGTAACAGTAATTGATATAAAGATGACAAATTTGTGAAAGGCTATATATTTTTTGTTTTATATTTTAAACTGTATCTTTAGATTTTTAAAATCTCAAATTCAGTATGGCACTGAAGATATTGTCTTGTAACAGAATCGAGATTCCCCCACCTTCCTCATCTTACACCCTTCTCTTTCACATCCCGACCAATGCAGTTCAATTCACCTATGAAATATTTCTCTTATTGGTCCCTTTCCATTCCTGCTGCTACCACACTGGTCCAGTCTCCTGTTATTTTATACCAATAACTTCTTGGTATCACCAACATCCAAAAGCTGGCAAAGTAAATCTCAAGTGCCAGGTCACCAGACACAGACTCATCAGAACCTGAAAAGACCAAAGTTACTTTATACCCTACAATTATCTGGGCAAATGCCATCGCAGACTGTCTTCCAGTTGTCAGTACTAAGCTGTGAAGTGCAAGAATTTTCTTCTTCCCTCCCTCCTTCCTTCCCTCCCTCCTTCCCTTCCCCGCTTCCTTCCTTCCTCCCTCCGTCCTCCCCCTCCTTTCAATCAATATTTATTGACTGTCTATTATGTGATATGCCGGGAATACTATGGACAAGACCCTAGTGGGGGTATAGATAAATATCTGGGGTTGGTTCTGCATGCCATAGGGCACATGTGAAGGGCATCTAACCCAGTCAAGTGATGGTGAGGAGAACACACCCTGAGGAAAAAATTTCCAAGCCAAGACTTGAAACATGAATGGGCTTTAGCTAGGCAACAGGGGCGGGGTGGAGTTGGGGAAGAATGTTTAGGCCCCACAAGGGAAGAGCTTGTTTGTAAGCCCAGAGGCAAAAGGAGGCACCAAGTACTAGGAAGCCTGAGATGTGAGAGGTGAGCCTAGAGTGGTTGAGGGTGGGGTGAGGAGGGACAGGAGTGGACCTGAGAGACAAGTCTGCTTTCCAGGAGAACTGTGTCAGCTATTTCCAGACTCCCCCCCCCCCCCCCCCCCCCCCGCGAAAAATTTTTTGAAGGGGGGCCCCCAAACCCTGGGGGGGGGGGGGAAAAAAAA